AGGCAATGCTGGACACCGATGCAGATCTTCAAAGAAAGATATGACAAGTTCTTGACCTTGGTAATAATCCAAATGGCTAAATTTTACATTATTTTCATTGATAATTTGGTTTATATTTATGGCGAGCATGCACTTAATGAAGCAAACAAGAGTCTGGAACAACAGGTACTTATTTTTGTGTCCTCTTTCACCTTCAATACACATTGCTCTTCATTAAATGGAATCGTCAATTATTTCGTCAAATAGCACTTTCTGCACATGATTATTAATTAGAGGGTTATTTTCTCGTCCAATCCATTTCTTTCCGTTTATGCCATTGATTTAGTCATGTGAGAAGCACCTTGTTTCCTCGAGGAGAAAATAAATGAAAATAACCCACATATAAGTTCTTGTTTGACAACCGTTCTTTCTTATTCTTTTTGTTTTCATACTCTATTCTCATAAAAAAATTGAACAACCGCCTCCAATCGCCTTTTTGGAGAGAAGAATTAAAGAAATCAACCATCTTTTCCAATTGACTCAAAGATAATTGAGGTAGAGAAGATAGAAACCCAATTGCCTCAAAGATAATTGAAGCAGAAAAGATAGAAACCTACCTTTTTTTTTAAGAAATCGTCTTTTTTTCCAATCATCTTTAATCTGGCTCCAAAAAATTCTCTCTTTTCTTTAAGCAACGATTGATGATTCATATTTTTCACTAAACTCTCGCTGAAAATCTGAATTACCTGTTATCTTTTCTTCATTATCTTTTCGTCAATCTTATTCTGTGATTTCACTTGTTTGAATTCTTTTTGCAAGAACTTGTTAAAATTTGAATTCGCTTTGTCTGAATGTGGGGACTAAGGATTGAGAAAGCACGATATAATTTTCCTCCGGAAAAGTTGAACACTTACAAGTGAGTTTTTGTTTCCCTAACATATTTTTTCTTTAATAATTTCTTGAATATTCAAGAAAATATAAATCCTTTTTAAATATTTTTTTCAACGTTCTGAAGATGGATTCATCGTTCGTAATTTATAATTACTAATTTAATAAATGAAATCAATTAACTGTGAAGAGATTTACTGTTAAGTGAAATCAACTAATTGTGAAAATAGGTTCACTGTTCATAATTTATAATTACTAATTTGATAAGTGAAATCTACTAATGAAATTGATTCATTGAATTTTTACAACCCTCTAACTCTCTTTTCATTGATTGGTGATACACGGGTTTTTGAAGAATCAATATTGATTTAATTCCCGTTATTGTTGCATCTGTTGAAAGAAATTTTTCAAAATTGAAGTTATTAAAATCTTATTTGTGATCAACCGTGTTACAAGAACGATTGAATGGATTAGCTTTGATATCTATTGAGCAAAACATTCTAGAAAAATATTGATTACAAAAATTTTAATTAGTGAATTTGCTTTTAAAAATGCGAGAAAAAATATTTTTACATGATTTGTAGCATTTCAAGCTTTACACTTGACTTGATTTATATTTTTTTTTTTCAAAATTTGCTTATATGGAATTGCAAGAAAAGATTAGTGGCTTGTATGGCTCTTTCTTGATGACACGTGAATTTTAATGAAGTTCGAGAGATGCTTTTGAGCTTTATTTATGTTTTTCTTGTTTGTGTATGTTAAAAAAAAAAATTAAAATATTATATTTTTGCAATGAAATAATATCATTGAAATATTTTTTTTACTATATGTTTTAATTACTTGAAGGGAACACCATTCTAAAATTTCGCACAGGACATCCAAAATCTCAGGGCCAGCTCTGCATGTGAGAAGCACCTTGTTTCCTGGAGGAGAAAATAAATGAAAATAACTCACATATAAGCTCTTGTTTGACAACCGTTCTTTCTTATTCTTTTTTTTTCATACTCATTTTTAACAACATATTCTTATAAAAAAATTATTCACATGAACCAAAAATTTTTCCTTATTTTTTAACCCCACATAACGGCGGTTAAGTGGGGAAAACCCCAAAAAAAAAATTCAGTGCGAGCAATATTATAAAAGGTAAAAAATAATAATAATAACAGCAATATTATGATACAAACATTATACAAAAAATGAAACAATAGTGTTGCTTACACAGGGTAGTTGACAGGGACTTTTGAGTTTTGACAGGTGTTGCGTCACCTGTATGGGTTTTTTTCTAACTATCCAATGAAATACTGTCACATGTCTCACTATTTTTTGAACCCTAACACTGACCCTATTTATGTAACATAATTAAAAATAAAATACCTTATAATGTACACATTCTACATATATAATTTCATGTCTCGGGATGTAGACTAATTCAAATCAAAATCAAAACAGGTATTAAAAAGAAAAATTCTCAATAGTGTGATACATAAAAACAGACTTAGGTGCTGTTTGGGCCCGATTTTTCACCCAAAAAATTGATTTTTTTACCGTTATTTTACTATTCCAGCCGTCATATTTGACTTTTTCTCTCACAGGTAGACCCCACTTTTCTTCTAACGGTCAAAAAATCAATTCTCAAAATCACTCCCAAACAGGCTCTTATTCACCGCTTCAGTTTCATGATTTTGCCTAGCAAAATCAAGAGGGCTCTGCCTTCTGACAAGAAGTAAATATAAATTCATTATCTTTATTTATTCAAAATTTCTTCAGAAATGACACACCAGAGCTCTCAATTCATTTCTCTAACCCTCTCACACCTCTCGAAATGGAGCATAATGTCCAGAATCCATTATGAAAACCCATAAATTTTTTCGAATTTCATACGAAAATTAGAAAACTAATATTAGAAAAAACTAGAGAGTTTACTCATGACAAAGCCTGCTCCTCGAATTTTGTTTGGTGAAAATTGGGGGGTTTCACTTTTCGGGTGCCGTTTGGGTGGGATAAATCAATGGAGGGGTTTGTAGTTAATAAAACTATGTTATACGATTGAGCCAATTCTTTGGCCCATTCCATTTCTTTTTAACCTGGACTGAAGGTGGTCCAAGGTTCAGTACAGACATTTGCCTGTACTAGGCCTTCATTGTGTCCGCCCAGGCTACCTGACGGTAAAAATTGACAGTTTTTGTTTAACAAAGACAAGTGTACACTCAAAATAAAATTTGGAGGACCATGACTACAAACTGATAGATAGTTTCAGCCTCATTAAATTGGTAGTTAACTATATAATGAATAATGTTATTTACAGTCACTCACTATCACTGTTACTTTACGTGATAAATATATCACGATTAGTGATTTGATATATGAGGTAAGATAAAACTATCACATTGATATATCAAATCACAAATCGTCAAGTAAAATGTCATGTAAGGCGATTACCACAGTGAGCGACTATAAATAACATTACTCATATGTAATTGAATGAAATTTTTTATTTATGGATAACTTCGAAAATTTTTTGCAAGTTCTGCAGTCGATGGAAGGGAACCAGATAAGTCTCCAGTGTAACCCAATTCCTCAGACTCAGTGTGATATCCATCGTGAACCTACTCTACGAATTGGGTATTCTCGAATTTCTTAGCACACCCGAGTGAATCAGATTCTTCGTTTATCCTTCCAACTAAAGAATGTGACACATTATGTGACTTATTTATTGTATTTCAGATACCAACTGGACCCAGCCTCTATGACTACATATGAGGTTGGTTGCGATTTCCACAGTGACGCAATGAAAGAAAAGAATTCAAGCGAAAACCTTGATATTACGAAATTTGGAATCCATCAAATTAAAGAGAAAATAAGCTTCATGAATTTTATCAATGAATAATAATGGAAAAAAAAAAACGAACTAACCCCTTATTTATAAGGCTTTACATATAGAAACGTAGTTTGAAACAACTAAAAGTAATGAAAACAAAATCTAAACAAGCTAGACTTGCAAAAAACAAAAAATAAAAACAAAAAAAACCAAAATGGTCTTACAGGCCCAATTCAGAATTAAGATGTTCTATTTCTACTAGTACTTTTTTCAATATACCCAATATGTCCTACATCACATAGAAAGAAAAAGTAGGGAGGACAAAACATTTTAAAATTTATTTATTTTTTACCAAGGATAAAAAATAATGCGAAAACAAATTTCATCCATCTTTTCTCCTTTTTCCACTAGAATTAGGGACCACGCACTTATATAGAGACATATCTATTGCTCGAAAAATCTTTGCACTATACTAACGTAGAATCATTTTCTTAGGACCTGATGTACACTTTTCATATGCAATACAAAATAATACTCGATATCAACTACGATTTGGGCGGGGCATCGGATTGGAGAATTTTATTTATTTGAAGATTCTTCTTTTGCCAAATCTTTAAAGATTTGCAAATCCTTCACTCTATATCCATATACCATCATCGCATACATTTGGTTCATTTTAATAATATTAAGCTGTGCAGCTTAATCCAAATAAAAAAGTTTAATAACTCAATTGACATTTTATTATAAGTTCAATAAATATAAGGAATAATTATTCATGAATCATGCAACCTTAATATGCGATTCTATAAATTAATGCATTTCTAAGTATTTGAATTGAGAATATGGATATTCATAGTGATGTTTAGAAATAAATTGAACTTTGCTTGGAGGAGATTGTTGAATAAAATAGGATATAGTAACCACTATAATCTTTGCCTCGTCACTTCCCTTGATCGATACTTGTCAACATCAGAATCACAAATTAATCAGTGGTGGTGAATCAATTGTAGTCTACCGCGAGTAAAAAGAATATATTTATTATTCGTAGTGGTCCTATTAACAGCTCGATCGTCACAGTGCATTCGGAATAAAGCTAGATATAAGATTGAAACCCATATGGAGATTTCGATTGAACAATAACCCCACTCTCAACGTTATTGTCAATTGTTTCCTAATCTTAGCAAGGTCGTTTTGGGATATACGAAAGGATACCTTGAGAAATGGCTTGGTCCACAATACAATTAATCTCTCGTCATTTTATGTTGTTCATTTAGCATAACATCCTCAATTTATTGCAAAAGTCTTTATTTGTTACATAAAACTTTGAACTAAGAGCAACAAAAAATTAAAGTAATTCAGAATATTGCAGCGAATACAGTTCCTTCCACTTGATCGGTGATATCCCTCCAAAAGCATCAAGGAAATATTGGGGGAAAAAGGATCAAAGGGCTCAGACTCAATTGTACCCTTCTATTTGGCCACACAAAACCTTAAATCGAATCCTAATCATAAATCACTCACTTATCAATTTAAGAAAGCCACTATTAATCACCCCATTTCTCTTTATACAAACACACACAGTGTTTATATTTACAAAGAAAATCAAAAGAATTAACTTCCAGCCAGAGGTTTGGAAGAAGAACACGAAAAGAGAAAGACGCAAGAATTTGGAAACCATCTCAAATGGCGATTGATCTCAATCTCGATCCAACTATCAAGGGCTTCTAATAAATTAGAAAGCAGAAGTGTTGAGTTGCAACAAACGCTCCTTTCTCCAAACACGTTTTCAATGTAATGGATCAGGGTTTTTGGCCAACCAACCAACCAACCAAGTTACTGGGAAATTGTTTAAGTAGAGTAGTTTGGCATCACATTCCAACAAATCTCAACTTTGATGCCAATGGACATGTACCACATAGTAGTCATCCAACTAACACAAAACAACAGTACCTGCAAAACAAACATTGACCAATATCGATAATTAATACAGTCACACATGACTTGAACTTGGATAGAGGTACCTTGATTCTCATGTCTGATGGATTAAATTGTGTAGGAATCATTTCAAGAATTATAAGATATTTTGAGATAATATCTCTAATAAAATGCAAATTAAAATCTATATGTTTAATTATTTCATGAAAAACTGAATTCTTACACAGATGTATAGCACTTTGACTATTAGAATAGATAACTACAGGTTTAGAATCATATTTATTTCAGTTAACATACCTTTATGCAATAAAGCTTCTTTCTTAGCCTATGTGGCTGCAATATATTCCTCTTCTGTAGTAGACAGAGCAACTATTAGCTATAATTGAGATTTGTAACTCATACAAATACCACACAAAGTAAAACATGTAAGCTGTAGCAGATTTTCTATCATCTTGATCACAAGCAAAATCAACATTAACAAAAGTCTTTAATATTACTCCCTCATTATAGGTATTAAACATTAGTCCTAATTATGTGATTCCTTTGAGATATCTAGGAAGCCAGTTAAGAGCTTCCCAGTGTTCAGGTCCAAGATTAGCCATAAACTTACTTAAAGTGCTGATTGCATGAAAAACATCATGTATGGCACACACCATTGTGTACATGATCGAACCCACAGTATTAGCATAGGGTATTCTTTTCATATACCTGATATCGATTTCATCAATTGGATACTGTTGTTTATACAATTTAAAATGACTAGCTAATGGCAGATTTTGACTCATGCATTCGCTGAAGATTTTAATAAAACTTTTTCAATATATGCAGACAGTTTCAAAATCAACTGTGTTTCTAATAATATCCTTGCCAAATACTCTCCTAGAATGACCTAGGTATTTCATTTCAAATTCAGCACCATTTATTTCATTTATTTGTTGTAAGTGTGGATCAATTAAGAGCATTTCATCAATATAGAGTAACAAATAAACAGCCATGCACTTATCTATACCTCTTTTAAAATAAAGGCAGCAATCATATGCATATCTAGTAAAGCCAGCAGTAATAACAAAATTAACGAAACTTTTATATCATTGCCTTGGAGACTTTCTTTTTAAACCATAAAGTAATTTTTTCAACAAGAAAACAAAATCAAATTTACATTTATTTATAAACCCTCGAAGACTTTTTAAACCATAAAGTGATTTTTTCAGCAAGCAAACAAAATCAAATTTAGATTTATCTATAAACCCTCAGGTGGAAACATGTAAATGATTTTATCCGAGTCACCATGCAAAAATATAGTTTTTATGTCAATTTGTTCAACCTCTCAATCATTATGTGCAATTAATGCAAGCAAAATTCTAATCGCAGTATATTTCACATGTGAAAAATTTTCATCGCAATCGACACTTTGCTTTTGAGTGAACTCCTTAGCAGTTAATCTAGTCTTGAATGTTAATGGTTCCTTATCTGTACTCATTTCCTTAACCTTATAGATTCACTTACAATCTACTAAGGATTTACCATCTAGCCTAAGAACAAGAATCCAAGTTTTATTCTTAGTCAGAGACTCCATTTTCTCTCTCATAGAAGATTCCCACTTGCTAAACTAGTTACAACTAACAGCTTCCCTATAGGACGTTGGTTCTCTATAAGCAAGATCTTGACAGAACAAAATAGAAAAAGAAATGTAATCATTACATCTTGAGGGCTCCCTTATATTTCTCCTAGCCCTATGCATGGTTAATAGATAGTCGACTTATAGTCTCCTAGGTGAATACATTGACTACTACTACATTCACAATCACTTTGCCCTTGATCAGCTTGTCTCCCTATCTTAGCTTGAAAAGGAGGCTGATCAGCTTCAAGATTCAACTGATTTTGATCAACAACATTCTTTGAGATCATAACTCTACCTAAAACCTTGTATCACTTAAAGTCTTTTCTAGCAACTTCCTGTTTATGTAAAATGTTAAGACCCATCTCACTTAGGTGGAATCAGGTTCAGCACTAAAGGCTTCAACAATGTGATCAAATACAGTCTCAGCCTTGTGACATAAATCCCGTTTCTTTTTACTTCCTTGAAGATGAAAAGTGACCAATTTTTCACTTTCACCATACCATCCTCAATTTTACCATACAACCCTAAGTCATCTAAATCCACCATAGAAATAATTTCTATTAAGTTTAGGCACATACCTAACTTTCTCTAGGGTGTAAATGTATCAATTTTCAAATTTTAGAGTCACATTACCTATTCTGTCATCCTTGCAAGCTACATTATTGTTCATCACTACTTTCCCACCATCGAATTTCTTAAATTTTCAAGCCATTGTTTCTCAGATGTCATATGAAAAGTACAGCATGAATTAAAGATCCATTCTTGCACCTAATCTTTATTATCATCATAATTTGCCGAGTTTAGATAAGTCAGAGGCTCAATAACAAGGTACACATCTACAGTATAGAATCAACAAGCTTAACTACATTTTCCTCATCTATCATCTTATGCTTTTGTTTATTTTTCTTATTAAAATAATCTTTCATAAAATGTCTAGTCTTTCCACACTCATAGCATTTCTTATTTCTTGATTTAGATTTGGATCTAGACATTTCCTTATCTTTCTTCTTGTTATTATTATTCCAGTTATTCTGATTATTACGATCCCCATTTTGTTTTTTTTTTATTCGCCCTTAACAAACAAAGTTTCTAAGTTATTGCGCTTGGTTTTTTTTATTTTTTATTTTTTCCAGTTCCATTTCCTTACTCCTTAAGGAGTTTATGACAATCTCAGGAGTCAAAATATCTCGACCATATTTTATGGCATTTTTAACCTCTCTATACTTCTCAAGAATGTCATATAGAAGCATAACAACCTTATACTCCTCAGTTGCCTTCTCTCCAATATTAGTGATTCTTGAACCAGTTTGTTGACGGCATCTAAATTGTCCTCTAACTCCTTAGAGGAGTCAATCTTAAAACTAAAAAATATCTTTAAGTAGAAAAAGTTGTTTGGAAGGGACTTAAATCAAATATAGTTCCTTCAATTTTTTTTCCAAAGCAACTTAGTGGAATCTAATTTTCTCACCTTTTTAAGAACTTGATATGACAAGCATAAAATAATAGAATGTAGGCCAACTCATCAACCTCATTTTTCTAATCCTAAGTTACGATAATCCCCCCTCTATAACTTTAGAAATCTTTTGTTGTATTCATCTTTTGTTTGGAAAATCCTCTTTTCCTTTAAATACCCCAAGTTCAAAGTTAGTAGTGGTCATTGTTGGGAATATACTTATACATGTACAGCGAAAAATTAAAATTATTTCGATTCCCACCGAGGATCTCTTTGTGTTTAGATAGAAATCGTGATAAAAATTATACCTTTGAAAAATTCTGCAAATATTTTACTTTTCTTTTCGTTCCAACAATCTTGATTCGCCATCCACAACTGTCCAATTGTCCAGCCTCCAACGGTGATCCACACAAAGAATAAGATTGCAGCTACCAGGGTTTTCTCTTTTGTGCCAGCAAGAATAATGAAAACTATGTGAACCTCAAACCCTAACTATGTATTTATATAAACTCAACAAGCCTGGTCTGGTCCGGTCCAATATTTAATTAATCCATTTAATTAAATTCTATCCGTGAATTAATTAATTCGGGCCTATAAATAACCAAACCAATTAATTAATTTATCCAACGATTGTTAAATTAATTAATTGATAATTTGCAATCTTCTAATTCTTTTTTGTGTGTGACCCATCAAACTCTCGATCACGATGCCTAACGACGGGAAATATTATTTTGATCTAATCAAAATTGATAAATTAAAACACCCTTTTAATTTATCGTCAATTCACACTCACTATCCCAGATTGACATTTAGCAATGTGTCAAGGCAATACATGTGACGGGAAATGCCATGTGGTGTGACAAAATCAAACTCGTTCGTTTACCGTGAAACTATAATCCTCTCGTCAATATGATCCGATCAATTACGAGATATTGAAGTGTGTCAATCTCGATCATCGATCATATCTTTCACTCTACTATTAAGTCAATATAAGTCGAAAACTCATTTTTGACTTGTGAGTACACCTTGGCCAAGGATTTCATCATCGACTTAATTAAATGAAACGCAGATCATAATCTCCTACTATTTAAGAGTGACAAATCCTTTATTGATCAATCACAATCTTCATACAATTCTTGACGTACCCGAACGATGTCCTATTAGCAGCCATTTGCAGAGCAACATCCAACACCGCCAAAGTATGACTGTCCTCATATAAGGTACCATGACGACCTCAAGTCAAAGGACCAATTCCATTACCGAATGTTAGAGGATTAACCACTGACACTCGATAGTTATCCATGTGAAATCTCTCAGAGGTCTCCAATATTTTGTTCTATAACAAAACATCCACGTGTTTATTTAAGTGTCACCACACTTTAGCTTGTGAGATCAGCTATTCACTTCACAAGTAAAAAATGCCACACGTGGTCTATCCGTAATAACGATATCCGTATCTCGTTATTACTTACGATCACGGACGATTTAAGATTCAATCAGATGTAATTTGTATCTCACAATCACAACTCCTTGTGATTAACAAATTACGAAAACTTGAATTTATGGACTCTATTCTTTATTTAATTGTCTATTAATTAAATAATAAATCTGTCATTAAATTGCATTAATTATATATCAAAAGTATTTATGTCCAAAGTTGATTGGACCTAGGGCATAATACTTACAAACTCCCACTTGCACTAGATCCTATCACTTATATATCCAATATCATAAGTCTACATGACGATCATATTTATGCTACGACAACTCTTTGTCAGTGGATCTGCAATATTGTTAAATGTGGAAATTTGTTCTTCTCTTTACGTCATTTCTATGTATTATTTCTCTGACGAGATTATACCGCCTTAATACATATTTGGATCATTGATGAGATCTTAGTTCCTTCGCTTTCGCAATGGCTCTATTGTTATCACAATACAATGGCATGTGATCAACAATATCAGGAACTACTCCAAGTTCATTTATGAACATCATGATCCAGATTGCAACTCTTTGCTACTTATGAAGTAATCATGTATTAGGTTTCTATTATTAAATCAACGGTTGCTTCACGTTTGGAACCTTTCCAACAAACAGTTAAAGAGTAAACCAGTTTTTCCATATGAAATCTTCTCAAGATTTCATCCATGTAAATTGGGATGAGTTAAACAATCTTCTAGATCTACCTCTATACATCAAGTTGCTTACCTCATATCGTTCATGAATAATTCATTTAACAACCATTATTTCAACGATTGAAACATAGGGATGTCGTTTTCTATAATATTAGGAATACGACAATGCTCCCACTATCTTCTTGTAAACACACAATTCGTTTTCAAATTTAATAAAACCAAACACTTTGACTTTTTCCATCAAATCGAAGATTTCAGCTCCATAGAGACTTTTCTTGACCTTTAGTTACGATATGCAACTGTTGCAAATAAAACTCAAATGGACTTCAGCAAGGCCACAGGAGAAAGGTTTCACCAAGGTCAACTATTAAACTTTTGCTTCTAGCCTTGCTTTGTATATATGGATATTCACATCCACATCAACCTTTGCCTTGTAAACTATTTACAAAACCTTTTGGGTTTTATTCCATCAGGAGGCTCGACCATGGTCCAAATCTTGTTCACATACGCCGAGTTTATATCGAGTTTCATGGCCTCTTGCTGTCTCTTTTAAGTCAACACTTGACTTTATTTTATTGCAACTAGCAAGTTCATTATCCTGGATCACTAATGCCTGATTAATGATCATGGATTCGCACCTTCTTGAAGGTCGAATGATCCTACTGGATTCATATAGAGTTGTCATGTCCTCAGGAGTCTTTACTTCCTCATCCAAAGTATGTCCCATATCAGATATGGGATAAAACTCGGATTTACCTACTTGGTTAACTATATCTGTGGACTCTTGAACTCTTTCAAATTCTACTTTACTCTCACTGTCCTCTCCTAGAGTAAACATTTTCTCTAAGAAGACGATATGTCGTGAGACGAAGACTTTTTTCACGATAATAGAATTAATATTCAAACATCTGCTTTGAATATCCCCACAAATACGTATTTATCAGATTTAGTGTCAAACTTATCCGATTCAAGGCGCTTCAAATAAGAATCATAGCCCCAAGCTTTCACATAAGATAAATTGGGACTATTATCTTTCCATAACTCGTATGGAGTTCTGTTAACCAATTTAGATGGGACATGATTTAGTATGTTGCACACTGCAATCAATGCATGACTCCAAAACAATTTTGGGAGATTTGCATGGCTTGTTATTAATCGCATTATATCTAATAATTAACGATTCCTCCTTTTAGATACAACACCTTACTGCAGTGTATATGAAGGAGTACACTACAAGAGAATCTCATTCTCTCTTAGATAATCTAGATTTTATCTTTAAGATACTCTCGCTTGATCGAATCTTAATGTGAGGGTATCTTTACCTATTTGTTTTTCTACTTCTAGTTTGAATCCCTTGAACTTTTCAAGAGTTTCATGTTTGAGTTTTCATTAAATATACATGATCATTGATGAAATAAGAGAAGCATTATCTGACATTAATTGACACGAGCCCATATGCATCATTATGCATTAGATCAGTAATTATACTGACCTTTCTTCGTTTCAAGTAAAAGAAGATTTGGTCATTGTGCCAGACATGCATAATTTGTACTTATCAAAATCAATTAATCACAAATATACATTTCTAGGTAACTTTGGAATTACTTTTCATCTATACGACAAAGTCTGTCATGCCAGATTTCAGTAATAATTAGATTATCGCATTTATGTCTTATAATTTCTATACTCATTATAGAATCCTTAGTATTAAAGAATATAAACGTCGTTTTATAATTTACCATAGCCAGTAGGATCTTTATCAAGATAAACAAGAACAACAATTGTCCTTAACATTAAAATAGTTCATATCCGAACATGAAATTCATTTTAATATTCCAGCTATAGTGGGTATAAAGCGACATTTCTCTAATTCCAATACTAAATCAAAAGGCAATGGCAAGAAGTATATTCCTACAGGCAATGCAGCAACCTTTGCTCATTTCCAACGTATAGGTCAACTTCTCCCTTTCGCAGTGGTCTACTTCTATTTAGTTTCTCCATATTTGTATGAGATCTACATCTGATATCAAATACTTAAGAAACTCGTGAAGTAGACGTAAGCCATGTAATATTCCTTCCAATGACCTTTCATTCTATAATGAAACCAAGGGTCATTAGATTTGGTATTGTCCTTCACTTAGATTGTCTTTACCATATTAGGTGCTTTACCATAATCCCTTTAGACTTCCTCCTAATACCATTAGAGGAATCAATGGCTTGCCCACGTCTAACTTTGTTATTGAGTATAACAGTCCAAAGCATATTAAGCAACTCAATAATTGTGCATTCGAACTTATTCACGTTAAATTCATAATCAGTTGTGAATAGCTTTTTCTAACAAAGATTGCAGAACCAAGTCACTACTTAATTCATGGTTTATGATTAAACTCAATTGAGATATTTCTCAACGTCAATCATCTTCAGTGTATAAGCATCGATTGAAGATTACTCAGTCATTTTGCACCGATATAGTTGTTTGGAAGTCTCATATCCTTCTACACATGATTATTATCATACAACTCTTTGTAATGAAGAATTATATGTTAACATCTATACTTTCAAGTTGCTTTTGTAATTTAGTGACATAGTTGCAAGTATCACATACGTTGCAGTACTATTGTCATCACCGCGTTTATTTCGGTAGCCACCTCTTCTTTAATCGAGTCATCAGCGGGTGTGTCTGGAAAGGGCTACTCAAGGACGTGACCAATTTTCTCATGCATGAGAACAATTCTCAAATTGATGCATCAATTAAGAAAATCTAGTTTGGTTGTTGACATCTAGTATGTCATTCAATTATATATAATTACTCATGATTCAATAAGTATATATGACGAAAAAGAAAAGAATAATATATAAAATGCATCAATTAATTTAACATAGACTTTTATTAAATTAATTATGCTCCCACTGTTTAACTAAAATTTATGACCCTCTTACATAAATTTATGGAGTCCATGCTTGACTCCCAGTGGGTTAGGATCTCATCTATTATATTAAGACCTTGAGTGTACTCAACAAACCCTAATATAACATTTGGGTGGATACAATTATCAATTTTATCACCATACAACTCCCAAATCATTAAGTTGACAAATCTTTGTCTTCAAACATCTTATGTGTTAGCTTAACATGCCTCTAAAATTTATCTCCTCAAGTTTACTCAACAAAAGATAAATTTTAGTTAAGTCGAACCCATCATTTAGAAATATCTAATATTTCATAGTGTTAAACATATCCCTAATAGACCAGTCTTGAGTGTACTCAACAAGTTGAGACGATTTGGGACTCTGATTTTTCACTATAATGATGGAAGGCAATCATAAATGTGTGTGTGTGTGTGTCTATATATATATACATACACACCATGCAAATAAATATATATATAACATAATATAATAGTGTGGACGATAATGGACTTCTACTATCTTGTCTTCCCGAGCCATAAAGAAGATTAGTTGGTCAATTCTTAGGGGTATAGCATTGAATAGTATCAATGCACCATCTCCATGATCTCTTTCTCTTCTTGTCTCTTCAATTAGTCCAATTGCAACATGTATCCTTTACTAATTGGTACGCAGACCAAAATGAAATTGGACTTGCAGACCCACAGCAATAATAATAATAATAATGGACTCGCAAGTCCAAAATGATCAAGAGCTCACAGGCCCAGAATAATAACAATAATAACGGGCTCGAAGGCCCAAAACAATTAAGAGCTCGCAGACTCAGAAAACAACAAGAATAAAAATTAACTATTCAACACATTCATATGGTCGAGTCCATAATCGTCCACTAATAATACATTCGTCACATAAATGTATACCTATATAATATCTAATATTATATGCAAATAAGTTTTAAGTTTCTAGCAATTAAGTCATCTAAACTCTTTTAGACAAAATGATCGAAACAATTAAATAATTAATTAATCATATTAACCAATTATTTAATTAGCGGCATATTTAATTAAAATCTAATTTGAATTAAATACCAAATTAGAGTCCAACTCTAATTCAACAATTATATGGCGGGATTATTTAATTAAAATCAAATTTTAATTAAAAATGAAATTAGAGTCAAACTCTAATTTCACAATTTAAGGCGGTGGAATTTAATTAAAATCAAATTTTAATTAAATAACAAAATTAGAGTCTAACTCTAATTCCAAGATTTTAGGGCGAATTAATTTAATTAAAATCAAAATTTTAATTAAATACCAAATTAGAGTCCAACTCTGATTGGAACAAATTTTAGGGTGAATTGATTTAATTAAAATCAAATTTTAATTAAATAACAAATTAGAGACAAACTCTAATTTTAATAGAATTAATATTTTAATATAGGATAATAATCCTAAATAAAATAAAATTCTATTTGGGGTCAAATTTAATATTTAAATTAAAATCATACTTTAACGAAAATATAAAAGGTAGTCAATTTTAAATAGAATTTCAATTTGGGTCAAAATTAAATTTATAGGTCAAACCCATTAAAATCAAATTTAAAAGCATTCCAAAATATAAATTCAAAATTATTTTGAAATTGTATTTTGACCCAAACTTGAATTTATAATCAGGACCTCCCAAATAAAGAAATTGCAGAGAAGCCCTTTCATTCATTAATTGCAATCAGACCCCAAAAATGAAATTGTAGGAAAGGGGTCCTCAATATCAAATGAAATGCTACTGCCGCTGCTGCCCGCCAAATTTGATCCCATATACGAATAAGATGATCCCATATACGAATTTGATGATACTCGTTCTTAAGATCAATTTTACTAAAAATGCAAGCACCATACAATTCGTCTAACATATCATCTAACCTAGGTATGGGGTGACGATATTTTACCGATATGTTGTTGATAGCTCTGCAGTCCACACACATTCTCCAAGTCTCATCCTTCTTTGGCACCAACAGAACAAGCACAGCACATGGACTCATGCTCTCCCTCACATAGTCTTTGCTCATCAACTCCTTACCTTGCCTCTGAAGCTCCATTGTTTCCTCAAGATTGCTTTGGTAAGCTGGTTAGTTTGGAATGACAGCTTCAGGTATGAAGTCTAGTACTCGATCCTTGAATTGGTGGCAACCCATTTGGCATATCTTTCGGGAACACATCTTCGAATTCCTGCAACAAAGACTTAACAAAACTAGGGAGGGGTGTGTTAGACTCCTCGAAGCTGAGGAGGGACTCTTTGTATACTAACAATAACATTGGCCTTTTATCAACCTTGCCTTTTTCAACTCACCTCCCTTTGCAAAGAAATTCACTTTCGACTTTTCTCTCCTCTCAACTAACTCTTTTTCTCTCCTCTCACATATCATCTCTCTCTTTTCTCCACTCTCGGCCACCTCACCATTTTTAATTCGTGTGAAAAACAAAACAAACCTATATAAATGGAACGGATTGAGTATTAACTTTGTCCATTCCAGATCAAATACTTACTAACTTGCCATAAGTACATAGGCAGCATTAATGAGAAAAGTCTTAAGTCTGAATTTGTAATGTTGTGTATTCAGAAAAAAATACTGCAAAATATCGAGTGATATTAACATGACAAATTATGTCATTGAGGGCAAACATCTAGTCAACCTAAATGATCTTACCAAACATGGCTTCATTTTGAGGTGCATAATCGAGGCTAATTCTTCAAAGATACCTGCACTCATAATCAGATAATGATTAAACTTTTGTTCTATACTGCGTTTATATTTTGAGTTGTCCTAGGGTTCAATTGGTTGAGATATTAAAGACAAAACAACAAATAACAAAAAAAATAAAAATAAAAATAAAAAGAAATGGGTATTAAATTTCCAATAGAGGAACGGATGATAAGTTATTGAATGTAACAACATAGAAATTATATATTTTAAAGAAGCAAGATTTTTAACCATATGCTTTAAGACGTACGACTAAGGTAACTCGTGGTATTGCCGTATTGGACCATCAACTTTCCAGGCTAATTTTCATTTGAGGTCCTCAAACATTTAAAGATGTAACTTGGACTCCACTTAATATTTTTGATGATCATATCTCCCAAAATATATAATTTGTGTCCATGGGTCCCTAATAGATGGATCGTAATTTGTTGTTAATGTCGTTATTCTTTTGTAAGAGTGGGTGCAATCTAATTCGATCAAACTATAAAGGAAATCAAATCGAACCAAGTATCATGAATATCATAAAAAGGGAAACCATTAGTTCTATATATTAACTATAAGTTGAACTGGAATCAAACCAACCGTCAAAGTTCGATCCGAATCTTTACATAGAAAAAATAATGAAAATAGAGTATGAAATTACTTATCATTCTTGCAACATATATGAAATTACTTATCATTCTTGCAACATACATATCAAAAAAAAATTAATTAAACCAATGTTTACTGATTTACCATAAGTACATAGATGGCGGAGTCTGAATTTGAAATGCTTTGTATTGAGGAAAAAATACTAGAAAATATCGAGTGATATTAACATGACAAATTATGTCATTGAGGGCAAACATCTAGTCAACCTAAATGATCTTACCAAACTTGGCTTCATTTTTTAGCTGTATAATTGATACAAATTCTTCAAAGATACCTGCAACCATAATCAAAGAATGATTAAACTTTTGTTCTGTTACTATAAATAAAAAATAAAAAAAGATTGAACCATAATCTTGAGGGTCCCACCGTCCCGTCCCTAGAGCATCGTGAGGGAGGTAAATCGCGAAATGTGCCTCAACAAGTTAAGGAACAAAAGCTTGCCCGTACACTAGTACCCACAAAGAGTCCAATTCCACATCTCAAGAATCGAACCCTCATATTGCAACTATCAAAAATGTTGAAACTACCTCACTCATATCTTTTGCACCACTGGGATATGCCCCGAGGGCAACTTTTGTTTTGTACTATGTTTATATGTTGAATTGTTTTAGGGTTCAATTGGTTGAGACATTAAAGACAAAACAACAAATAACCCAAAAAAAGGGGCATTAAATTTCCAGTAGAGGAACGAATGATAAGTTATAGAATGTAAAAAATGAGGCATATAATTAAAGTATAGAAATTATATATTTTAAAGAAGCAAAATTTTTAACCATAGACTTGAAGGAGCCTAACTGCGTCTTCTTCCGCCTAAGGCAACTCGTGGTATTGCACCATCCTCCTCTTTATAAACCAGTCATAAATTTGCTGAACGTATGCCAAATCTTTAACTGAAACCATTTAAGCACTTTGTAGAAGATACACAAATCAATTAAATACAATTTGAACTTCTAGAATTAAATCAAAACTTAAACAACATAGTATAAGCCCCCTGTTTGGCCCCCCATTATATCTCATCAATAAATTAAATTTTTCTCTCTCCTATTTTCACAATTTTCAACAAAATAATATTGCACGTAAATTAAAAACTTTTCATTCTTTTACCAAAAAAAAAAGACTATTCCTCCATTATAATCGAATTAATGAGAGCCAAAGTGGGACTGATTACAAAACCACATGTCCACCTGTCCGTGGAGAAGTCTCACAGTTTCTCCTCCTGAACTTTCCAGGTTAATTTTCATTTGAGGTCCCTAAACATTTAAAGATGTAACTTGGACTCCACTAATAATATTTTTGATGATCATATCTCCCAAAATATAAAATTTGTGTCTATAGGTCCGTAATAGATGTATCATAATTTGTTGTTAATGTAGTTACTCTTTTGTAAGAGTGGGTACAGTCTAATTTGATCAGACTCTAAAGGAAATCAAATCGAACTGAGCATCATGAATATCATAAAAAACGGAATCATTAGCTCTATATATTAACTATAGAGTTGAACTGGAATCAAACCAATCGGTTGCAGGTCGATCCAAATCTTTACATAGAAAAAATAATGAAAATAGAGTATGAAATTACTTATCATTCTTGTAAAATACATATAAAAAAAACTAATTAATCCAATATAAAATCATTAAAATGGCTCCTACCTCCTGATGCTTTTTATTACTATAGTATAATTTTTTTACGAGAAATTTGAGTTCTTACAAAAATTTGAACAAAAGATGTATTTTTTTTACCTATTGGGATTTTAAAACTATGAATTATAAAGTATTTTATAAAAATTTTAGACTTGGATATTGATAACCCATAAGGGTTTTGCTATAAATAAATAAATAAAAGAATCGTATGGAAAGTAAATTTTCGACATGAAATAATTTGGGATCTAATGTTAAAATATTTAGAACATCTTGATTAAATGCACCAGCGGAAAGAAAAATTAAAGAGAATAGAATGTAATCTCAATTCTTAAGAAGTATCAAGGACCCGAAAGAAAAATTAAAAAGAATAGAATGTAATCTTAATTCTTAAGAAGTATCGAGGACCCGAACCAAATCAGTTGATTCTTAGTGCATGATTCCAAAATCAACTCATTTAGTAAAGGAATAGAGCTGACCGATTTTAAGAAAATTATCCACCCTCAGTCTATTGTTTCTACTTGTATATGAATGCAAAATGAGCCCATAAGTACGTTACTCCTCAAACTTGTCTCATGATCAAGTTAATACATGGACTACACCTTTTGAATATTTAACTCTCGCCAGAAAGGGATGTTAACTTTTAATAATAATAATGATATTCATTAGTAGTAGTGATAAATTGCAATCTAGATGACAGCGAAATCATTGCCACATTATTCAATGAATGAAATGTTCTCAACTTCATTTGACGACATAACTGTGATCACATTACGACATATGTTGTTATTACCAAAGCCGATGAATAACACTCTTTTAATAAATTTTTTTCTTAAATGACCCTTAAAAAGGTTCTATTACGTGTGTGGCTTGTAGCATGTTCAAGGCAAAACAGAAGTTAAACATTAATAGGGGACATATGTGAACTCTATGTATGTTATAAACTTCTATAATATGAGGGGTCAAAAATTATGAATAAGAAATCCAAGACGTGCTAGTGGGAATGGATGGGGAATTGAGGTGCAAATCTTTTAAACTCCAAAGTTTATAGCTTGTTTGAGCCCATTATTGTTTTTTTCTAGAAAAAATAAAATAAATAAATTGAATAGTGTATTAATAAAAAATATATGGTTAAAAAATAAAGAAAAATTTTGAATTTGCATATAGTATTATTTTATTGAAAAATCTGTAGATGAAATGGGATTCAAATACTATTCAAGAATTTATTTTTTTTTTCCAAAAAAGGGAGCATAATTCACATCGCCTAATCAAGAAATTGATCCGTTCAAGGCTAAAGGTAACTCGCTAAGGCTGGACAAAGCTCCAGAACCAAATCGACTCGACCTGACCAAGTCGGACCCGAATCGAGTGGTTCTTCTTATATTAATGTAATAAATATTCGAACAAGTATCTGAATTAGGAACCGATAAATTTAGTTCGATTCTAGATCAAGAATCGAAGGGCTCCATTAGTTGGATCATTTCCATCCCTATCACTAACCATGCGTGGCGCCATGTAAATTTATGGGTAATGGAAAGTAGAAAACTTTAGGGGAGATTCTAATTCCCTCCTTTCGTTTTGATTGATACCTTAAATACATACATATAAACCATGTATTCATGTAGACACAGACCAAGGGTTCGAAAATTCACCTAATTTCTTGGTTTTGTGGTCATGGGCCGGAAGAAGCTGGAGATAAAGCGAATCGAGGATAAAAGCGCTAGGCAAGTGACGTTCTCCAAACGCCGTAATGGGCTGCTGAAGAAAGCCAAGGAACTCGCCGTACTCTGCGATGTAGAAGTCGGAGTGGTTATCTTCTCCAGCCGCGGAAAGGTGTACCATTACTGTAGCACCAACAGGTTTTCCGCATTATTTTCCATTTTTCACTCAATTTGCGTTTTTTTTTTTTTTTTTAAATTTCAGAGAGGGTTTGATTGTCATTTTTAGGGAAAAATACATTTTAAAATAGTAACTTGATGGAAAGTACGTGATTAAAAAATAAGAAAATTTTTTTAATTTACGTGTAATATTATTTTAATAAATAATATTTGATTAAAAAGAAAAGAGAAAAAAATATATTTTAAAAAAAATGGTAGCAAACGGGACTTCAATTTTTAGATATTTTGCTTCCTCGGTTCTCGTAGTTCTAGTACGTGTAGAAGCTCTATCTTGCTGTTTCAAATACCTTGCGTGCTCTGTTCTATATTGCTTGTGGATCAGATGATGAATTCCATCGAGTTTATAAAAATCCTAATTAGATATTGGATAAAGCTAATTTGTCATAATGATTTAAACGTAATTATATGCGATTAGGTAAAAAAATGACTGTGTTTTAAACTGTTTGATTATCAATAATAGAATGACACGTGACATTATAAGCCTGTTTGGTAGTAATTTTGAGGATTGATTTTCTGACTATTAGAAGAAAAGTGAGAATCATATGTGAGAAAAGAAATTAAAAATTACGACTAGAATAGTGAAATAACGATAAAAAAAAAAATCAATTTTTTGAAGTGAAAATCACTCCCTAACCGGGCCTATATCAGATTTTATATTATCATTGATGTTCACATTGGATGATTGTGAAATATTTCAAGATTTTTACGATCACCATTTTATAAGTGGAAAAGCTGTGTACTTGTACGTTGATGTGTTCGTCTAAATTCAAGAATCTGATTTTAAAACAATGCTACGTGTCTATTGGAATTTTAAAAGGAAATGTAAAGAATTTCACTTAGGCCATGTTTGATATGGAATATTTTCCATGGGACTGGAAAATTTTTGAGAGCTCTCCACCTTTTTGTTGTTTGATTGGGAGAGTTTTCTATGAAATTCGATTTCTCTCTATCACCCCCACCAATTCTTCCAGGTTCTTTTTTTCATATATATATTTTTTATTTTTTGACAATGGAAATAAATTCTAAAAACAATGTAAAAAAATCTATCTATTTAATCGACAATTTACATGAAAAACAAAGTCAAATGAACACC